ATCAGTTCCTCAATTGCAGTTGAAACTCTTATTTCTTGTGTCCATCTAAAAGACTGACTTGGAACTTGATTCTGTTGGTTCCTGTTCTGGTTCCGTGCTTTTTGAGACAAAGCTTGAGTTTTGCTAACTGCAGATGATGATCCAATACAACGTCTGCCCCTCTCTGTACTGCGACGTCTTCCAGGGAACCTATCTGGTTCTCCGTCACTCCGTCCGGTGATACCCAAGTAGCCTTGTGGATCCTCTTGAGGGGAAAACCGAGCCTCCAATGACAAAACTGTTGAAAGCACAGATATTTGCAAATCGCTCACCGTTCTCATTCATTTGTCCCAAGCCATGTTGTCCCATGATTCCTTCATATCCTACGTTGTCCTGACCAATCTTGGCATTGGCATCTTCCATTAGGATGTTGACATCCTTCCTAAGTAGTTTATCGATGACCCCCTGGAGCCGGCTGTAAAAAGCAATCTTGTCTTCATCCGAAGCTTCATTTCTTGGGGCGTAGATCTGTAGTATGTTCTAGTTGATGCTCTTACTCCTGGTAGTGAAAGAAGCCATGATGATCCCCTTCCCGTGTGGTTCCCATCCTCTAAGTGACTTCTGTGCATACTTACTCAAAATAATTCCAACTCCCTCCGCATGGTGCTTGTTTTCCCTCCCAGAATACAATATTTGTTCCCCCGAGCTGGGCTGCTTCTGTCCAGACTGTATTCAGTGGGTTTCGCTAACTTCAAGTGTGTGCAGCCTGTATCTCTTCATCTCATGTGCTACTTGAGAACTCTTTCCTGCTTCATACATGGTGTGAACATTCAACGACGCAACCCGGATAGACTTCTTCGACAGAAAAGGTCTCGGGTCAGAAGAGTCCTTTCGGCTTTGTTCGCTGTCCTTCACTGTTCCTGCTGATCCAGAAGCTCCTCTGTCTCCCAAGATGGAAAAATTATAAGGCATGTTTTTCTGTGTGTTTCTATAACGTCCGTTTATACGGGGTCGGGTAGTTGGCCCTCCGCAAACTCACCTTTCGGGTGACCAGACCTATGCACCTTTAGTTGCCCCTTACGACACGCATATCACGGCATGTGTATTCTTTACTCCCCCTTCAAGGAGTACTCCTACTATTCGCAGTCTCCAAAAGCAGCTTTATCTTTTCTTATTCACAAATGCACATTACTTGTCATAACGATACACGCATGCGCGCGCGCGGGCGTGTGTGTGTGTGTGTGTGTGTGTGTG